TTATAGAAAAACAAGCATATACTGACAGTAAATTAAGACAGAGGCAGGAGGATGTTGGAGAGATGAATACAGAAAATAGCCAGCTAAGGAGAGACAGATGGGGAGAGGAAGACAGCAATGGGAGCATAAAGACAGAAAGAAATGCAGAGAGCCATGGAGAGATTTAAAAAATACGGGTGAAGAGACAAGAAGAGGATGGAAAGGAGCATTTCTTGAGCTCCTACTGAATATCATTCTTATTAAACCTTAAAAGTCATCCTAATATTGGATTCACTAGAAACACTCTTATTGCAAGTCAGGGCTGAGCATGGAGAACTGAGCTGTCCAGGGTCACTCCACCTGGATGGAACCCATCTCTTTGTAAAAGGCCTGGCCCGCAGGAGACAGCTCATAGCTGTTTACCCAGTAAACAAAGTCCATCTCCCCAAGAAGGCAGAGGTGGGGACCAGCCCCATTTCACCCCACTGAGTTAATTTTCCCTGTCTGCTAAGTCAACTGCATGGTCTGTTGCCCTAGCAACTGCCCTCCAACTGCCATGGTAACCGCCAGCACAGGCTCCAGCTCTCCACCTTGCCCCTTGGGTATTTCCATGGCGATGTGCGGGATACAGAAGCTGCCAGAGCCCTGAGGATGCGCGTGCGTAGAGTGGCAGGACCGGGTGGGCAGGAGGGGGCCTGGATCCTGGGCGTGCGCAGTCGCAGAGCACCGCAGCTGTGCCCCATAGCCCGGCGCTGCGCACTTGCCAGCCAGTTCGCCCGTCCGGAGCCCGGCTCGCAGGGGCAGCATGGCGGGGTCGCCACTGCTCCGCGGGCCGCGGGCCGGGGGCGTCGGCCTTTTGGTGCTGCTGCTGCTGGGCCTTCTTCCGTTGCCCCCCGCGCTTTGCGCGCGGCCGGTAAAGGTGCGACCCCAGTCCGGAGCGGGGTGGGGGTGGGGAGAAGGATGCTGCGGGCGATGGTCAGTGCCACATCCTTGCTTGAGCCAGCTCTAGGGATGTGAGGAGATCGTCAAGGGTGGTCCAGGCTCCAGCCGCTGGTACAAGGGAAGGCCAGAATGACACACTAGAGACCAGATTGGGTCTCTGCGTGTGCGGGTGGCATTTTCCTGGGCTCTGCCAGCAGCCGCACCCTGCCCATCCCACCGCATAACAGGCCAGGCCTTGTGTTGTCCCGCCCTCAGAATGTGGCACTGGCATGGCACTAGGGAGAATTCTGGCAGGGTGTGCATGAGATGTGATGACAGTGATGTGGGGGTGTTTTAATATGTGAATGTGTGTCCTTGGGTTTGACAGCTTCTGAGGATCCTGCTAAGTTGCGTGATTGTGTAGCGTGTGTGATACTGGAGTTGCTTCTGGGACATTTTTTGTGGGTGTGTGGACCTGATTGCTTTCTCATTGACACCGTGTGTGTATGTATTTGTGATTCCTTATGTGTGATGGCATGGCTTATGGGCGTGGTTTTCTGTGTGCTTGAGTGTGTCTGCATGATTTTGTTATTTCAGAGGAGTGGGTCCTGCCTCTTGGTGTGCACATTCCATCTTGGTTCTGTTGAATTGAGTGCCTGAAATTTTGTAGTAATGTTCATGAGGCTGTTTCTTTCTGGTTCGTGGAGCTGTGTCATTGTGGCGAGAGGAGCCATGATGTCTCTGCTGCTTTGTGTCTTTAAGGGTGGTGCATGTCCTTGCACCTGTGTGGCCTGGAGAGTGTAACTGCATGAGCAAATGTAGATGTGAATGTGTGCTGTAATTTACATGTGGATGTAGCAGTGTTGGGTTGCAAATGTGACACCTCAAGGGTTGTCAGTTCATGCTGGGTGGGGGAGACTGTGATTACTGGTGAGTAATTCCCCTGGGGCTGAGGGGTGGTGGGCACCAACCAAGAGCTCTTGCAGCAGCTTCATCCTTTAGCTCTTTATGTCTGAATAAGGATGGAAGATTTTTAATATTATTAAATATTTTTATATTCAACAATATAGCTAACATATATGTAAAATTGTAAAGAATAATGATAAAATAACCCATTGCATACCTATGACACAGCTTAAGACCAATAATAGAAGTATGACCAATAATAGAAGCCCCTATGTGTCCCTCCCCTGGTGTCTTTATCCCCCTCATTCATTATCGTGTATTTTCTGTCCATTGATTCCTCATCACACATGTATATATCTCTAAACAATTTATTTTTTAGTTTTTCCTGCTTTGGTACATCATAAAAATGGAATAAAACTGGGCAGCTGCCTCCTGGTAGTCACTAGGGGTCACTAGGAAGTCCTTGAGTGCCTGGTATTCTCAGACAGTCTGCAGTGGGATTCTGGAACTTGCCTTTTTATTTTTTCTTTATTTTCTTTTTCTTTTGGGTGCTAGGGGATTGAACTCAAGGCCTTGCACATGCTAGGCAAGTGGTATACCACTGAGCTACACCCCCAGCCCAAACTTGCCTCTTTAAAAAGAAAAGTTGTCTCTACTTTGGTGCTGAGATTCATTCGTATGGAGGTGTGCAGTTATAATCCACTTAATTTTTTTTGCTGCATAATATCATGTCCTATCATGCATCTATATGCATTCTCAATAAGTCCGTGGACAATTGAGTTGTTTCCAGGTCTTTTATTTCTCCTCCCTTTCTCCTCCCCCCTCTGAGGATTAAGCCCAGGGGAGCTCCACCACTGAGCAACATACCCAGCCCCCCCTTTTTCTTTTTCTTTGTTCTAATATACCCAGCCCTTTTTGTTTTTTATTTGAAATAGAATCTCACTAAGTTGCCTAGCCTCCACATTTATGCTATTACAAAGTGCTGTTGTCATCTTTCACAAACCCATGTCCAATAGTATATGTGCAAAATGGGTCATAGCATATACACTTCTTTTTTGACGTTGCCAAATTGCTCTTCAAAATTATTTTGCCAATTTAATTCCCACTAGAAAAGTATGAGATCCGGTCTCCAGCCGCCCCAAGGCAAGTTCTGAGAGTCAGGAAAGCAGAACTGGGAATGGGTCGAGGGGTCTGTGGTGGTCTTAAGTGTGTCTAGAGATATTTGGTAGGTCTCTTGTGGCCTTGGAGGTGTTTGGGTATTGGGGAGGACTCGTGGCTTGGTGGATATTTAAGGGTCCACGGAGCCTCCATCCCACCCCCGGGTGGAAGTCCCAGGCCTGATGGACGCTGAACAATATCTTCTCCCCAATTCATCTTCCTGCAGGAGCCCCGCAGCCTGAGTGCAGCGTCGCCGCCGATGACTGAGGCTGGCACTCCCCGCCGCTTCCGTCGGTCCGTGCCCCGAGGAGAGGCGGCGGGTGCGGTGCAGGAGCTGGCGCGGGCGCTGGCGCACCTGCTGGAAGCGGAGCGTCAGGAGCGGGCTCGGGCCGAGGCTCAGGAGGCTGAGGATCAGCAGGCGCGAGTTCTGGCGCAGCTGCTGCGCGTCTGGGGCTCTCCCCGTGCCTCTGACCCCCCACTCGGCCTGGACGACGACCCCGACGCGCCCGCCGCGCAGCTTGCCCGCGCTTTGCTTCGCGCTCGCCTTGACCCTGCCGCCCTCGCAGCCCAGCTTGTCCCCGCGCCGGCACCCGCCGCTGCATTTCGTCCCCGGCCTCCAGTCTATGACGACGGCCCCACTGGCCCGGATGCCGAGGACACTGGAGACGAGACACCTGATGTGGACCCGGAGCTACTGAGGTGCTGGGCAAAGGGAGGGTTGGGATGGTCATCAGCCTCTTGGGAGAGCGGGGACTAGGGACTGTGGGGCCACTTCATCCCGTGGAGGCGAGAACATCGAAATCCTGGGGATGGGCAAGGGTTCTGGTGTCCTAGGAGGGAGAACTGAGATCTTGAGTGTGGGGCACAGATTGAATGGTAGGTTGACTTCGGGTCCTGGGGAGAGACCCTGATCGCCTGTTTTCTGCCAGAAGAGGGAGGCGGGAAGTCATAGTTTCTGGTACGGGAGGGGAGGACCTCTTGTCTCCTGAAAGCTCTGGGCTGGGGACCCTTGGGTGAGGAGGGATCTGGCAGTCTGAGGTTACAGGGTCCCGCTGTCCGGGGTCCTGGGCCACAGCAGTGACGATTGCGGACACAGGCTCACTGCATTCCTCTTGGTCCTTAAGGTACTTGCTGGGGCGGATCCTCACTGGAAGCCCAGAGCCCGAGGCTGCGGCTGCTGTCCCGCGCCGCCTCCGCCGCGCGGCAGACCAGGATCTGGGCCCAGAGGCGCCGCCTGAGGGTGTACTGGGGGCACTGCTGCGCGTGAAACGCCTGGAGAACCCCCAGCCCCAGGCGCCTGCGCGCCGCCTCCTGCCGCCCTGAGCTCAGCCCACAACCTGTGTCTTGGAACCCAGGAGTGCCCCAGCCACCTGGACACAGGACTCACCCCGCCAGCACGTTGAGAGCAGCTTACTCCTCCAACCCCAAGATCCCCACCCTGGCCCTACAATAAACAGGATCTGAAGCAGTTGTTTTTGTCTGTGACTGGCAGTTGCTAGGGCCTTCCCCTAGACAGGGCAGAGGGACTCTTTCCTGGGTCCTGCACTTTAGAGATACTGCCTACTCAGTTTGTGCTTCTATGCACTGAACAGTGGCAGTATATATACAAAGACGGTTTTCATGTGTATTGTTTGCACTGAGGTGCAATCAATGTACCCAAAGCATGGCCTGGTACACAGAGGGCTCCCCCAAATTTCTTTTTTTGGGGGGTACCAGGGATTGAACCCAGGAGCATTTAACCACTGAGCCACATCCCCAGCCCTTTTTTATATTTCATTTAGAGACAGGGTCTCACTGAGTTGTTTAAGTTGCTGAGGCTGGGTTTGAATTGATGATCCTCCTGTCTAAGCCAACCAAGCTGCAGGGATTACAGGCATGCGCCACCACGCCTGGCCTTCCCCAAATTTCTTGAATGAAAGAATTCCCATAATTCAAGTATCATTCTACCCAGTCTCACTCCCACCCACATAACACTTGGCATGGAGGCAGCTTTGAAACCTGAGAACATTTTAATTTTGCACAAAAATCTCTCAATTTGACATAACATAGCCAACATTAGAAACCCCCGTGTTGCCAAAAAAAAAAAAAAACCCTCACCAAATGAAAATTAAAGTGTGTCCATCTATGCCCATTACACCAACAGTGTCCATGATACTAGTTGATAGGGGGTGTCTCATATCAAAGGAATCATCACCCTGGCCTGTGGGAGAAGACATCTTTCCAGACCTATATCTTCAGGCCACAGAGCAGCCACAGCTGCACATGGCCTTCTGGTGCTGGGACTTCTCCTCACATGACACTGCCATGGCCTTCTGGACCCTTTGGATCTCTTGGATGAGCAGGGAAAAGGCTTCCTCCACACCTTGCCGGGTCTTAGCTGAGGTCTCCACGAATGGGGCTCCCCAGCTTTGAGCCAGGGCTATAGCAGCAGCATGAGCATCTCCAGTGCTGGTCACAAGGTCACACTTGTTGCCCACCAGGACTAGAGGCTGGGGGTGGCGAGGACTCCAGGTGGCCCATATCTGCTGCAGCTGGGTCAGAGATGAAGGATCATCGAGAGCAAAGACACCTAGCACACCATCACCAACTGCCAAGCACTGGTCACGCAGGGCCCTGTGAGTTTCCTGCCCTGCAGTGTCTAGCACATTCAGAATATAGCCCCCACGGTCCAGGGCCACCTCCTTCCAGTAGGAATCTTGGATGGTGGGGTCGTGGTCTTCCACAAAGCACTGGTGGGTCATCTGGATGGTCAATGCACTCTTGCCTACACCACTTGCACCCACCACCACCGCCTTGTACTCAGGCAGTCGTTTGCCAACACCCTTGCGGTGTGACCAAGCCTCTCGACTCTCCTTTGAGCTGGGGTTCCATGTGCCCAGGCCCAGGTCAAAGACATCAGGCTTTGTTGGTAGTTCCATGCCCCCAAACAGGCAGCTCAGGGAAGAGAGAACAGCAGGCTCTGTCAAGTTGGAAGAAAGACAACAGAGGATATGAGGCACTGGGATATCTGGGTGTCACTGAATCAACATTTGGAGTGCCTACTGTGTGCTGATTACTTCCTAATATGCATACATTATTTATGTTGGTCTCTCCCCTTCTTCCTCAGAGAGAACCTCTGTGAAGGAAATATTTTTCCTTTTTTTTTGGGGGGGGGGTGCTAGGATCAAACTCATGGCTTCACCTAGTACTGGGTTAACTCCTTAGAGCCAAGGCAGAATTTTCCAAATAGCTTTACTGAGGTACAATCTACATCCTGTGAAGTTCTCCCAGTTAAAATGTACAGTTCAATGGATTTATCATACTCACAGAATTGTGTGAAGTTTAGAACATTTTTGTTACCCAGAAAAGAATTCCCATACCCATCAACAGTCCCTACCCATTGCTGAGGGAGGACAGGATTTTGTTTATTTGGGGTACCATTGAACCCCACCCCAGGTCAACGCCTGTCAGGCAGTAGTCTGTTCAGAATATCCCCACCCTCAAGGGGTTTATGTTCTAAAAGGGCATTATTATCTAAAAGAGAATAAACCAAATAAATGAGGGAAGTATGTAGCCTACTAACCATTTTCTTTAGAATTTTAGTCTTATTCTACATTGCTGTCTATAATTTCACACTGTTATCTGACAACAATAAGATAAATAAGTAAAAAGAAAAGTAAAATGTATTTCAGTAGTAGGTGATCACCACGCTGAAGGTACTGGATTAATGTTAGGCATTTTTATTATTATTCAATGTCCCATTGTCTAACTAATGGATTTTCCTGTATGTGAGGCATTGTGAAAAGGCACAGAACAAAACAACACCCAACTCCTGGCCCAGGGAGCATTAGACTCTAGCTGTGCAAGGCAATAAACATGATAAATAAGGAAACTGTCTTGCATATTAGAGGGGGATAGGCACACAGCAGGTGCTCAATTTGTGTTCCTATTAATAGCAAATCACCATTAACTCATTGAATGAACCTCCACTTCCGGTTTGGGAAGCTCCCTCAAAATGCACCATGATGGCTATTACCATAATTTTCTCTAAAAATCCGGGCAGAGTTTGGGGATGTTTGCTCCACATTTCCCTGGGAGTTTTAGTGGAGTTCGGGATTTGGAGGGCGAGATGGGGGAGGGATGCAGAACGCTGAGAAAATGGTGGCTTGGAAGTGCTTGCCCAGAAAGGGAGGGGGGCAGGATGAGAAAAACAAGCAGAAAATGGAGCTTTGGGGGTTCACACTGGGAAAAGAAAGAGGGAGAAAACCCATGAGGACAGATCGAGGGAAGTAAACAGCAGCAGTGGGGAGGCTGGAGATGGTGGCAGTACCAGTGCAGGTAGGGAGGAGACGTCGGGTTTTGGTTTACTCTTGAGATGAAACTGACTTGTTTTTTACTTTTTTTTCTTTCTTTCTTTTTTTTTTTTTTGGTGCTGGGGATTGACCCCAGGGCCTTGTGCACGCGTGGCAAGCACTCTATCAACTGAGCTAAATGCCCAATCTAGAACTGACTTTTTATTTTTTTAGAAAATTCAGAGTTTATTTATGCATAGGGCCTATCTACATCACACCCAAACAAAGATGTATTGTCCACTGAAAACCCCATTTGCCTTCAGTCCCTCCATCTATGACATTCTTGGAAGTTCAAAACAGTCAATAGTCTGGACTTGTGTGAGTGTGTGAATATATATAATTATATATATAATAGGTATGTGGTGGAACTGACCTTCTTAAGAGATTTAAAGGCAGGGGATCAGGCAAGGACGTCTCCGTCTCCAAGATTGGGGCCTGAGAAGCTGGAAATCTGGGGGTGCCACGGCCAGCGGTGGGGGAAGTGTGAGAAGAGCTTCTCCCTCTTAGAGATAGCACTGGTGGCTTCTTCGGTACTGACCCCTAAGTGCGGCACTCAGTAGAGGCAGGGTGAGCCCAGAAGTGCCCACACTCATCTAGTCTTCGTGACTAGGGGGAGGTCGAGCTTAGGGTCACCCTACCCATCAAATCGATGAGGAAAAGCGAACTCATAGAAGCGAAGGGACAGGAACTGACTCCAGGTCACACAGACCCATGAGAGGTGCTACAGAATGGGTTTTCAGCCTTTGGCTTAAGTAACAGAATGCCATCGGAGTGTCCCCAAAGGGTCCTTGAGACCCTTGGAGCCACCTGCTTTGAGCTGCTGGGATGCGCCGCCTGGCCTCGCCTTGCCTTGTTGCCCTAGGAGGGTGAGCGGAGGGGCTGTGCGTACTGGGTGAGGGAGACTGCTGGGGTACCAGGGCCCCCTTGCAGGACTAACCTGGACAACTCGCCCAACCATGCACTTTCCTTACTTCCTTCCTCCGAGTGAGGCGAGGTGCAAAGCCCTGAGCCGGGACAGATGAGCCTAAAACTTTTTCCTCCCCGCATCTCTATTTTGGGCTCAGCTTGCATGGTGGTGCCCAGGTGCTCCTTTTCGTCCTATGCAGAGAAGAGGTCCTTGCTTTTGCAGCGCCAGAACCGGCGCTGGGTGCCGGGAGCAAGAGGCTCACTCCCCCAGGAAAAAGAACC